AATCCATCCTCCACTCTACTGTCAAAATGATATTCCTAAAGCCCAAGTTTATGTCTCCATTTCTCTCTTACCCACTGCACACACTCCCCCAAGTGATTCAATTTCACTTGCTCCCTGTTACTTCCAGGATCTAATATAAAGGCCTTCATATGTGTTCCCTGCACTACCCACACCCACCCACTCTTTCATCTAGTGACACCAGCCTCCTTGCTGTTCCTTGTACATAACACTCGAATCTCCCGTTTGTGGGCACTTTCACTGTCCATTCCCCCATGTGGGAAACTCTCCTTTCTAATCTCCACCTCCCGAGTTTCTCTAGCTTCCTTCAAGTCAAAGATAAAATCCTACCTTCTCCAAGAAACTTCTCTGTTCTACCTCAATGCTAGAGCTTTGAGATTACCTCTGGAGATTACCTCTGATTAGTACTGTATATATCTTATATGTACATAATTATTTACATGTTGTCTTCCCCATTAGAATATGACCTCCTTGAGGGCAGGAACTGTTTTTGACCTTCTTTGTATCCCCATGCCTGGCATGTAAACCCTTAATGCCTTCTGACTAGATCAATTAATAGTTGAAGGGGTTATTTTAGATACAGCTACCCACTTTTCCATACTTTAAGTCACTGACTGCGTTTTTTCCCATTTCCCTTTTCTCACTTCTCTTCTCCAGTCTCACAAAACCTCATATGTATTTTCATTCCTTCTAATACCCCAGCCTAATAGAGTACACAGTGTCTGGAAAGGGCTAGAAAGGAAGTTACTCTGAATACTGTTTCAAAGTACTCTTCTGATGCCTTCAAAAGACTAATAGTACTTCCAACCAAGTGTTTGTCAAGCTATCTAAACTAGAATCACTAAGCTGTTTAACTGTTGCCTAACATGAAAAAGAAGAAGAAAAGGAATTGAAATGGGATTGATGAAAAAAAAAAAGTTATTAACCCAAGGGGTCCATGAACTTGGATGGTAAAAAAAAAAATCTTTATTTTCATCAATCTGTAACTGAAATTTAGCAATTCCTTTAATTATTTAAAAACATCATTCTGAGGAGGGGACCAACAGGTTTACTAGACATACAAAAAGGGTTAAAAACCTCTGATTTAGAGCAAAATCATAAAATCAGACCTGAAAGATGCCTTAAAGATCAGGTTCAATGTTTTTAAACTGTACTCCTTATAACCCTGATAATCCAAATTATGCTAATAAATATTGAGAGAGAAACTTCAATGCTACTGATTTAATGCTACTTGATTCCTTCAAAAATATGAAATTATGTAAAAAAAATTATACTTTTTCAGCATGACAATAGACCAAGGTTCCTCTACTGAGTTTCAATATTTTTCTAACTCCCTTAATTCTGGAGATATTTATTATCCTTAAGCTCTTCAAACCAGTCATGTATGGGTACCATTAATATAGAAGAAGCCTAAATGTATTTCAAGTTCAAACTGATTTAGAAAATCTAAACTCACTACCTTCCTTTTACATTCCTGCAATGTATCCCACTTACTTCCAATTTCCACCTATTGAAATTCTTTCCCTCCTTCAAGAACCAGTTCAGGAACCAACTCTTCCATGAACCCTAATTTTACCTCAGCTAGAAGATATTCCCCAATCATTAAAATTCTCACAATACTCTGTGGTGATGGACCTCTCTCATGAGTTATCATATTACACCTTGGATTATATTCATGAACACGTTTTATCTTCCCCTACTAAACTCTAAATTCCATGAGCACAGGAAAATTTTATTTTATCTTTGTACTCCCAGCATCTCATTTAATGTCTTGTATATAAGTTGATTTAAAAAAATCTATGTTTGTGAATTAAGTGAGTTGCTCCCTATTAGCAAAGCTGGAATAAGAATCTGGGTATTCTGGCTCCTTGAATGGCTTTTACATTGCCACTCTTATGGCCAAGTATGACTGAATTCTACATCCTCATCCCCAAATCTCTTTTCCCCTTAAACTCTTATAAAGTTAACTTTCCATCTTCCTGCCATTATTACTATATATTCTTTTTATAGGTCTATGACAATGATACACTATGGCATTGAGTAAATTAACAAAATTATCTGAAGACTATCTACTGTTTTGTATTGACCAAATTAATTCTCAATAGGTTTAGATAAATTCTTGAGCATTATTTGCATGCTGATGTCAGGAACATACTGGAAACAGTTACTTTACTGAACTGAAAGTAACTGAAGAAGAGGACCTCACACTTGAATTCTCACTGGAATCCACTTGAGTTTATTTAAGGTTTTCCATGATTCAAGAATTCATCATCAGAAGCATTTTTCAAAAGTCAAGACATTACTTCCAATCAAACACACACTTATGTGAATTAGGGCATTGAAAAACCCCAGGTTAGTATAGTGTAAAGAAGGCAGCAGGTTCAAGTTCTAGCTCTGGCCTGACTACTGGCAAGTCTTCCTTGTGAATCTTGCTTTCACCTAAGCTCATAGATTTAGTACTGAAAGGGACCTCTTAAGTCATCTAGCACAATCTCATTCTATCGATGAAAAAATGAGAACCAGGAGAAAATTGACATACCTAAGGTTACAGAGGTAGCAAGTAACAGAGACAGGATTTGAACACAAGTCCTCTGACTTCAAACCAGCACTCTTACTACTATGTTCAGTTGTTTTTCAATTGTGTCTGACTCTACGTAACTGCATATCTGGGGTTTTCTTGGCAAAGATAGTACAGTGGTTTGCCATTTCCTTCTCCAGTTCATTTTACCGATGAGGAAACTGAGGCAACAGGGTTAAGTAACTTGCTCCAGGGTCACACAGCTAGTAGGTGTCTGAAGTCAGATGTGAACTCAGGAAACTCATCTTCCTGACTTCACATCAGGGACTCTATCCACTATGCCTCCTAGTTGCCCTCCGACTACTAAAACACACTTGTAAATCTTACAGTGATATACGGAAATGAGCTATTATGTATTATTACTTCTAACAGAATAGGAATGAAGAAAAATCAACTAGTTACACAGGAAATTTAAAAAATGGAATTCCCCTGTATAGGTTAACATCTCACATCCCTTGTCTCATGTCTGCTAAGCCATATTTTGGGTTAAAATTAAATCATTTTAAAAGAACCCTCCTCTCTACCTTGAATCTTTTGCCCATTGTTAACCCTTCCAATGTACTTAATTACTTTCTAATGTGTATGATTTGTGTGCATCCCTGATCAGCCAGTACACTCTTAGAGGGCAGGGACTGTTTTATTTCTTATCTTTGTATTCCTTGAGGCCTTGCATTATAGTAAGTACTTTCAAATCTTTGTTCAGTTGAGAATAGAAACTTGGATAAAGATGAATTGTAGTTTTACTTGAATTAAAAGGTAGTGTGCATCATTTTTTAAAATCCCCCCCATACATACAGAATACCTCAAAAACAGCTCCCAGATCATAGGTGCTGCTTCCAGTCCAGGCACTAAGACATCTTTCTGAGAAGCAACAGCACCCCACTACCCCCCAAAGATGTGGCCAGTCAACTGCTTTGGTGGGGGTACTGCAGCCACAGCTACTAAAGACGCTGAGGGGGCAGCTAGGGGGTGCAGTGGCTAGAGTACCTGCCCTAAAGTCAGGAGGACCTGAGTTCAAATCCGGCTCTGACCAAACACTTGACACTTACTAGCTGTATGATCCTGGGCAAGTCACTTAACCCCAATTGCCTAAAAAAACAAACAAAAAAATAAAAAATAAAGACGCTGAGAAGACAGCTCTTGCCACCACACTCCCTGAAACTATCAAAAGGTTCAATATCATAAGCTGATATGATTTTGTTAGTGAAAAATGACATTAAAAATAAAACATTACCATCTGTTTTGCCACTAAACCTTAAGGACTATGGTACTTTTCCACCTTACTTTGCAGCTTCAACTTCCTATATATGTCCTTTCCCACATAAGAATGTGAGCACTTTTCTATTGGTATCCCCAACTCTCAGCACAGTGCTTTGTATACAGTAAGTACTTATTGAATGAAGAATGCTTCTTCATTCATTCATTCCATTAAAAAAAAAAACACAAAGTGTTTATCGAACTCGGATAAAGTTTGTTTTTTCCCTCCCAGCAATATCTACCAATTACTCCCAAGTTTGGAAAACTGTAACTACACTAAATGCATTATAGTTAATGCAAAACAAACGGAAGTGAAGTCAATTCCATTTGGACCAGAGCTCATTTTAGAAATGGCTACCGTGTTTACAGCCTGAGGGTCAAGCAGCCTCTCTGGGAATCAAAGACTGCAGATACACTCACAAGTGAAGGAAGCACTGCGACTAACCTCGTTTTTCATAACATTTTCAAGATGCCATATGGAGGTCACATCTCCTCCATCTGATACCCACATGGGATGCAAGAGAAAAACAAAAACAAAAAAACCCCACTCAACCTCATCTCCTGACTTGTTTTGCCTAAACTACGGGGCTACGAGGTAAGGACCGATTCCACAGGCCCTCTCTGCTGCTCCCACTCAGAAGGGAGGTGTGGAGAGATGTAATTTAATAGTCTTGGGGGGGAGGCAAGAGCGAGAAGCTACATCATTTGGACTTCTGTGACCATGTGCATGCAGCGGAGCTCTGGCACGGGCAATGCCAGCCTCCCCGCCCCAAAGCGCCTCCCAGGAGTTTAGTGCCAGGCCCAACCAAAGCAAGCGAGTCTCGACCCACCACCAGAGGCCGCTGTAGGCCCCTCCTCGACCTCAGGAACCATCTCTGCGCCTGCGCAGTCGAGAGAGTATACTACTTTAAATTTATTTATTTATTGAGAGAAAAGAAATACTGGGCGCAGGCGCGCTCCGCCGCCGCCCCGCACTCGGAGCGCGCACCTGAACGCCAGTCCCCGGACGGACCGCGCGCCTCGGCTCGGTCACTTCCGCCTAGCGAGGGGAGAAAAGAGGGAGGGAACGGGAGGCTTGAGGGACAGCCCGAGCCCTGACCCTTCAGAGTAGGCGGCGTCGGCCGCCGCATTAACCCCTAAGACTCACCAAGTACAAGGGCTGCCACCGGTTCTCAGCATCCACCTCCTCAAACTCCCGCTCGATAGTGACGGACATGGTGGCGGGCCAGACCTGGCGCGAGAAGAGCCGCCGCGGCCGGAGAGGCACATGCCCCGTCCTCGCTTAACAACCGAGTGCGAGCCGCACTCGTCTCCCCGGCGGCGGCCGCTTAACGCATGCGCGATCCGCTTTCCCTGCTTTCTCCTCCTTCCCGCTCCCCCCTCTTTCAACCCCCAGCGACGACGCCGAACACCAGCTGCTTGCGGCGGGGAAAGTACCTGGAGCGTAGAACGTCAGCACGCTGAGTTGGCGCGGAAGAGGCGGGTGGGGAGGGTGCGATTCTACAGTCGGGGGAGAGCCGAGGGAGTGGTCCCTGCCCCGGGGAATCGGCGCCCAGGTGGGGAGGGGGCGGGGCCGCCAGAGACCACCCTGTAGGGCCGCAGGATCCTGAGGGGCGGGAGGTGGGAAGAGGGAGGAGCGAGGCTCTCGTCGGCCCCGCCCCTTGGACGACCGCCGAGATCTAGGCGGCTCAGCGCTCCCGCGTGGAGGAGAGCAGCGGGCAGAAACTCGGGGAAAGCAACTGAAGGGGGTCTCGACTGGCCCCGCGCGCCGCTGCCTCCGCCCCTGGGCCCCCCCCTGTCTCGCCCCGCCCCGCCGCTCCGGGGTCTTTCCCTAGTTTGTTTTCTTTTTCCACTCCAAGTGTATGTATGGGGGGAGAGGGGGGAGTCGGGACCTTCGGCCTCGAAGTTACTGGTGGCCTTGGTCCTTGGGTGCGGCGTTTTGACTGAGTCCAAGTTTTACAGAACAAATCCTTTTATTAAGAGAACTGAGAAGTTTAGATTCAGTCAAAGGGCCGCACTTGAGGACCTAGAGGGCCACATGTGGCCTTGAGGCCGCAGGTTCCCCACCCCCGGTCTATAGGGATAAGGACAGAACCGGGGATTTTTTTTCCTAGGGAACTTACGGGTGCCGGTGCAGTTGGCCCAGAGAGTGGCCTGGGGCTCCTTTCATTGTTTGTGGAGGCTGGGCCGGGTTATCTTCACTTAGTGTAACTGCGAGGAGATCGGAGATCGGTTTCCACGCTGCTGTACACAAAACCAGTCCTGATGCCAGCTTCTGTTTGCTGGTTTGTTGGGGGTGGGGGAGTTTTTGTCCTTTTTTAAAAAATTTAAACCTTTTTGGCAGAGCTCAGTGCTAGTGGCCAAATGGATAGAGCTCTATGAGACCTCAGATACTTTCTAGCTGTGTGATTCCTAGCGAGTCACTTAATCTCTATTAGTTTCCACATCTGTAAAATGGGAATAATGTAGTATAGTATATGTAAAGCACCTTCCTTAAGCCAAAAGCACTGTGTAAACAGGTGGTGGAGATTGACAGACAAAATGAAACCATTCTTTCCCTCAACGAACTTATATTTAACTGGGTGGCAGCAGGGGAATCAAGTCTTCCCAGCAGAGATGGTATCTGAGCTGTGGCATGAAGCAAGAGTGCTAGATTTGGAAGATGTGGGGCTGAAACCCACCTCTGCCATTTAACCACTTGTGTAACATTAGACAAGTCACAGTGAGCTCTCTGGGACTAAATTTCCTTATCTATATAATGAAGGCCTTGGACTAGATGGTCACTAAGGGCATTTTCACTAGTAAGTATGGGCCTAGACCAGTAGGGCCTCTTCCAAATCTGGATTTATGATGTGTGTGATTTGAGGGTCACAGGAAAGGCCTCTCTAACCCAAAATTGGAGGCAGCAGGGTGGCACAGTGTTAGGTAAGTGCTGGACCTGGAGTCAGGCCAGAGTTTAAACCAAGCCATATTCACTTCAAAGCAATGTGACTTTGGCCAAGTCATTTAACCTGTTTGCCTCAGTTTCCCTGCTTATAAAATGAGGATAAAAATACAGGGGCAGCGAGGTGGCGCAGTGGATAGAGCACCAGCCCTGGATTTTGGAGGATCTGAGTTCAAATCTGGCCTCAGACACATAACACCTAGCTGTGTGACTCAGGGCAAGTCACTGAACCCCATTGCCTAACCAAAAAAAAAAAAATAGCACCTACCTCTCAGGTTTGTTGGAGAATAAAATGAGTTAATATTTGTAAAGTGTATTGCAAACCTTTAAGTACTATGTAAATGCCACTTATTATTGTTATCCCAAATGTTCCAAACGGTATTCTGGTGTCTTAAATGCCACCATTATAGATTGATTACTTATAGATAGCTTGGAAACTGAGTTCATATTTGACACTTACTAACACTTACTGGCTGTGTGATACTGGGCAAGTAAGTTAACTTCTACCTCATTTTCCGCATCTGCAAATAGGGGTAATAATAGGGTCTTCCTCATAGGTTTGTTGTGAGGATCAAATGAGATAATGTTTGTAAAGCACATACTACAATACATGGCACATTGTAAGCTCTTAATACATGCTTATTACCTTCCTTCTTGAAGGAAAGAAGGGATGTCAGACTGGAATAATATCTTCTTCCTCCCCCCCCCCCCCCCGGCCTTTTCAGTATTACTGCACAAAATGATTTTCAGGTTCAAGGTACTTTCCTGGTCACCAGCCCTTAATGGGGAAGTAAGTGCTCCAAGCTATATTCAAAGGTTTGATTAGCTTCTCATCAAATCCCTTATACAAAGACCATCACAAGTAGTGAATATTGAATAAACTTCTTTATCCAAGCTGATAACAAACAAGTCATAGAAGTTACAAAGATTAGAATATAATAGACAATATACAAAGAAATGAGCTCTCCTTTTGGGAGTAACAGAGACTCCCCAATCTCACCCTGGGCAACATTCCCTAAAATCTCTAATGTAGCAAGCTGTAAATCAGAATCTTTTCCTTTTACCCCATTCCAGAGAGCCACCCTTTATAAAACTAATTTTAAAGGAAAAAAAAGAAAAAGAGGAAAGAAAAAAATAATCAAAACGAATCAATGCATTAAAAGGGTCTGAAAATCTATGCAATGATCTCTTTGTACTGAGCATGCCGTCTTACCACACAATGCCAATGAATGCTGCCAGAAACACCTCAGCTCAGATTCAAGACTATTCTATGTTTTGAATTGTAGCATTTTTACTGTACATATAGAGTTTTCTGCTCTTACAGAAATGTAATAGTTTTATTACGGAAAATAAAGACTTTTAATATTTTCCTACCATCATGCCTCAGCCTGTAAGTATCAAATTAGTTTATTTTTGGATTGTATTGTATTAGAATGTTTGATTTAACAAACTGCCATTATCTCCTTTTACAGAAACATAAGTGTTTAATTGCAGCAAGTAAAGACAAAAGCCCTTTAATAATATTTCTGTACCATCACTGCTATATGTGTATATAAGTGTGAACATCAATTTTTTAAATTAAGCACAAACAAATGTAATTTCATACACTAAAGCTAGTATTTAAGAAATTATTGGCGGTATTTATATTTTAGGACAAAAATATTTTTTCAGTTATGGATAAGTGGCTATATTTAGACAGAAGAGGTAAAAATACTGATGACAGTGCAGCAGAGTTTTCGCTACCAGGTTGTAGCACACCTAAATTGACAAGAAAAGGAAAATATGTTGAATCATTTTTGCAATATAGATTTACTTCTAATAATGATGATGGTATGGAAAAGCCTCTTTGCTTAATTTGTAATGAAGTTTTGGCTGTAGAGAGGAGGAAACCAGCCAAGCTAAAATGACATCTTAATACCAAGCATGCAGTGTACTTCAGTAAACCAAAGGAATATTTTGAGTGACTTTTAAAATCTCTAAATAAAAAGAAACAATGTTTTGAGAAATTTGTTACTGTCCACAAAAAGTATTGACTTGCATCTTATGAAACTTCTTATTTAGTTGCAAAAACTAAAAAGACCTATACAATAAAAGAAGATCTGTTACCTGCTGCTATTAAAATGTCAGAAATAGTTCATGGGGGAAAATATGTGGATGACATTCATAAAATTCCTTTATCGAATGATACTGTTTCCAAAAGAATTTCTGAAATTAGTAATGACCAATTCTAGCAGCTTATTACCAGGCTTGAGGGCAGCCCAAAGTTTGCAATTTAGTTAGATGAAACAACTGATATTTCTAACATGTCAGTTAGAAACTGTTAACTTTATGTAAGATAAGTTTATGAAGGAAGTATACATAAGGAATTATTGTTTTGTTGCCCTTTGGAGGGGCACACAAGAGGGGAAAATATTTATCTTAAAGTTGATGAATTTTTTATAAATGATGGTTTACAGTGGAAAAACTGCTTTGGAGTCTATACAGACAAAGCTAGATTAATGATGGGCGAGAATGTTGGATTTGTAGGAAAAGTTAAAGCTGGTGGCAATGAATATATCACTTTTACTCACTGCATGATCCATTGGGAGGCACTTGTAGCCATAAAATTATCACCGGAGTTAGATGTTGTGCTTTGTGATACTATCAAAATCATTAACTTCATTAACAGTCATTTGTTTTCAAACCTTTGGAAAGAGATGAACTCCAATTAAAAAAGCTTATTACTATGTGCCAAAGTAAGGTGGCTCTCAAGAGGGCAAAGTTTAAATAGATTATTGAATTGAAAGATGAAGTTGTTATATTTCTAAGCAGAAATCTGATTTTGTTAATTTTTTTCATAATGAGTTACAGCTTTCAAAAGTGTTATTTGTTGGATATTTTTGAAAAACTCAATGATTTAAACATGTTACTTCAAAGAAAGAATTGTAACATATTTATGTTAAAAGACAAAATTGATGGGGCAGTCAGGTGGCACAGTGGATAGAGCACCAGCCCTGAAGTCAGGAGGCCCTGAAGTCAGGAGGACCTGAAGTCAGGAGGACCTGAGTTCAAATCTGGCCTCAGACCAAACACTTGATGCTTACTAGCTGTGTGACCCTGGGCAAGTCACTTAACTCCAACTGCCTAAACAAAAAAAAAGACAAAATTGAAAGTTTTACTAAAAAAGTTAACATATGGAAGAATAGGGTGGAAAATGGTTCTTTAGAAATGTTTACAGCTACAGATGATCTTATAATTGAAAATAACCTTCCCAAAGATTTAATTGTAAGAACTATAATTGATCATCTGAAGTACCTGGAGACCCAGTATCAGAAATACCTCCCTTCAAATTTTATTCTAAAAAACTAAGTTGGGTTTATAAAGCATACTCCATTGAAATAAAAAATGTCAGTCTGCCAT